CTCTTCCTCCCTGCGCGTCCTGGGTCACCGGCTCAGCACGGTAGGACCAGCCCTCCCTGCAGGGCCACCCCCCAGGTTTGCTGGGGAAGACATGTGTTAGAGAAGAAGTGGGGAGGTGGTCACCTCACCTTGTCACCGGGAGCACCAGCAGGGCCAGGAGGACCAATGGGACCAGTCAGACCACGGACGCCATCTTTGCCAGGAGAACCATCAGCACCTTTGGGTCCAGCATCACCCTAAAGACACCAACATCTAAGACTTCCAGGTGGGCCAAGATCTAGGGTGTTCTGCTTATGTCTGATACCCTGAGGACCCTCCCCATCTCCATCCCGGCTGCACCTGTGCCAAGGACTTAAGATCCTTTTAGGAGAAAAGGTATCTACTCGGGGCCCCTGACTTGTACAGGGAGGTGAATAAAGGAGTCCCATCAAGGAGAAGCTCCACTTCTCATTGCCGTGGTAACTCATGGAGAAGGGCCTGGACCACAGGGGGAGGATCGTCAGCAAAGAGGTCAGAGGAGAAGGGAGGATGAAGGAGAAGAGAAAAGAATCCCCATGGAGAAAGGGAGATGCCAAAGGACCCAAAGCAGGGAGAGAGATGGGAGCCATGACGGGCTCAGGGGGGAGGAAGGTTGAACTTACTCTGTCACCCTTAGGGCCTGGAAGACCAGCTGCACCACGTTCACCAGGCATTCCCTGAAGGCCAGGGGCGCCTTGGCTACCAGGGGCTCCAGGGGCACCAGCATCACCCTACGTGACGATCAAGAAGACCAGAGTGAGGCTCAGGGTCCTGGGAGTGGTCGGAGCCCTGTGCTCCCCCTCAGGACCTCCCAGGCTTGGCTTCAAGGCCAAAGACAGACACCAGCTGAGAGGAAAGACAGCCCAGCCTTCAGGCTACACCGGCCATCCCTCTCCCTCCATGCACATCATCTGGTCCTTGCCAGCTGTCCCCTGCCGCAGTGGGGGAGCGACCTGGTCCCCAGGTGGCTTACATGCCACCCTCACCTTAGCACCATCGTTGCCAGGAGCGCCGTTGGCCCCACGGGGACCTGCAGGACCAGGGGGACCTTGCACACCACGCTCACCGGGGAAGCCTCTCTCGCCCTGGAAGGGAAGAACAGGGCACATGACAGCTGTCCCAGAGGCAAGACAGAGTGCGGGGCGTCTCGATGGGAGCAGTGACAGGTTCTACTAATACTTACTCTTGCTCCAGAGGGGCCAGGGGCACCGAGATCTCCAGGAACACCCTGAGGGGGAGGGAGAATCAGTGAGCGACACCTGCCTGGGTCATCCCCACCAGACAGCACCCCACTCCTCTTCCTGAGGGCTGGCCCTTGGCTTCCAGGATTAACAGGTCAACACCGAACTGGAATTACGTACAATGGCTCCTCGACTCTCCTTGGGAGAGTCTTCCCTCCACAAATTTTGGACCGACAGTTATGATCAGAGGCTTGAGGGATGGTCACAGAGTATTTCAGCTGTTCTTAAAAGAAGCTACCCACGGGCCCGGGAAGTGGTGGGGTAGTTAAGGCGCTGGACTCCCACATGGCCAATTGTGATTTAAGCCCTGGACCTGGCAGCTTGCTTTCTCAATTTCTCTCTCTCTCTCTGATCAAGTTAAAAATAATAATCAATCGAATTAAATAAATACTTTTTTAAAAAACTAAAAAAAAGAAACCGCCCAGACTAGTAGCCAGGAAGCCCCTTCCAGATCATGCCACCCCGCACTCTGCTCTCCTCTGTGTAGCCCCGTGACAGGAAGTCCTTCCCGGTGCCTAAGCTGGATCCCGCTAGCTGCTGGGCATCTGATCAGTAGGAGCTGCGGCCTGTCACTCACTACTTCCTGCATTTCCTACTCGACTGGCCGGTCACTACCTCTTACCTGTTCGCCAGGTTTGCCTGCTTCACCAGGAGGACCAGCGGGGCCAGGGAGACCCTGTAGTTGAGAAATAGCAGGGGGGGTGGGTTAGAATCTGGAAGCAAACAAAGAGGTGTTCCCACTCCACCTCCCCACACCTGCCAGCCCAAGGCCTCACCTGGAATCCGGGGGAGCCAGCAGGGCCTTGTTCACCTCTCTCTCCAGCAGGACCCTGCCACGGGGAGAATGCCGTGTTCATGAGGAGGCCGGGGGTGGGGGAGACGGGGGTGCCTTCCCATTCTTGCTCCCTAGGTCTCCCTGTCAAGGACACTTACAGCAGGGCCAGGGGGTCCCTGGGCTCCAGCTTCTCCATCTTTGCCAGCAGGACCCTGTGGGGAGAGAGGAGGGAAAGATTCAGGGTGGTGAGGCCCTGGGGTGCAGGTGGGCGTCCTCTGGGGGTTCCTGATTCCCTGGTGATGGCCACAGCCTCCTGCACCCCTAGGGAGGGGGTAAGTCAAGGGCAGGGACCAGAGGAGACACTTACAACAGCACCAGGGGGTCCGGGCACACCGCGCTCCCCAGCTTTGCCGGGCTCGCCCTGTGGAGAGAGGGAGTTAGGGCTGAGGGGCTCAGGTGCTGCACTGGGGCCTCCTGGTCCCTAATGCCGGCTCGGAGTGGGCATGTCTCCCCGACAGCCGTTATGGCTTTGTTTGTCAGTGTTGGGCCCTGGGGGATGCCAGCGCTGGCCTTGGTGGCTGGGACCCTTGGCCTCTTCCTCAGTCCTCTCCCCTAAACCAGATGCCCTCCCATCTCCCCACTTCACCTCTCCCCTCCGTCCTCCTATCACATGGGACCTGAACTGCGAAGGACTTGCATCCTTCTGGTCTCTCCTTTGGAATCTCAGAGAACCCCCCAAGATTTGGGGTGACTGTTAGGAAAGGCTCAACCTATTCATGTGCACGTGGGAGGACGGGCCACCAACAATCATTCCTAGGGCCAGAACAATGACGGTGGAGACAGAAAAGGTCACTCATTTTACAGGTAGGGAAACTGAGGCCCAAGAAGGGTGTGTGAGTGGCCTGAGGCCACAGAGCAAGTCGGTGGCAGGTCCGTGTGTCTGTCCCTGGCTCTGTCTCGCTCCTCACTGAATACTCACAGCAGCACCTTTAGGTCCAGGGAATCCCATCACACCAGCTTGACCACGGGCACCAGGAGGGCCTGGGGGTCCGGGGCGACCATCTTGACCAGCAGGACCCTGAGGGTGGGAGGCACAGAAGCGAAAGAGAGGTGAGGACAGAGGGTGGGCAGCCAGGAGAGCGGGAGGGGACCTGGGGCATGGTACTTACAGGGGGGCCAGTTTTGCCATCAGGACCAGGGCTACCAGGGCTTCCAGTCAGACCCTAAAAGGAGCCAGAAAGGTGTAAGTGGGGCAGGGAAAGGGTGATGTGGGGCAGAGGGCAGACCCATGGGCCCATTCTAGAACACCCTATACCAGCCCCCACACAGGACAGGCAGGGTCCTAGCTGAGCTGGGCTAACAGGCTGGGGTCGTACCTTGGCACCAGGCAGGCCAGCTTCACCGGGGCGACCAGATTCACCAGGAGAACCTTTGGGACCAGCAGGGCCAGGAGAACCACGTTCACCAGTGGGACCCTTGTTGAGAGAGTCACAGAGATGTGATGTTAGGTCTCAAGCCTGGGCCCTTCACCATGGGCCAGTGTCACCTTCCTCGGGGAGTACTGAGGGCACTGCTTCAGAGAGCTTGGAGGGGCACTGGTGAGGGTGGGGTGGCCGAGGTAAGGCCCAGAGTGAAGAGAGGAGGAGACGCACCCCTACAGCTGCAGCTGCAGCGGGGAGCACTCAGGACTTTGGGAGTGGGCGGTGGGGGGGGCTTGACTCCATCAGAAAGGAAGGCCATGCTCAGGGGTGCAGGGTCAGCCTCACAGGTACGAAGAGAGGTTACCTTGGGACCAGCCACGCCATCTGCGCCAGGGAAACCACGGCTACCGGGTCCACCCTGCAGAAGGAGAGGCCAGTGAGCTCAGGTACACAGACTCCAGGCACTGGGTGTGTGGGAAGCCTGGGGCCCGGGGTGCTTACACGCTCGCCAGGGGGTCCGGGCAGGCCAGCAGGTCCGGGTTCACCTCGGGCACCTCGCTTTCCTTCTTCTCCAGCAGGGCCAGGGGGTCCTTGAATACCAGTGGGGCCCTGGAGAGGACAGAGAGGAGGAGACAGCCTGAGGTGAGGGGCTATCCTCGTGCCAGTCCCAGAGCGGGCCTGAGGTTGGGCCCCAGCATCAGGGGCCCTTGTTCCTCCCTGGGTCTCCCCACAGGGCTCCCAGGGCAGGATGGGCTGAGCTGCAGGGAGGATGGCGGGGGACTTACAGGCTCTCCTTTGGCACCAGTGTCTCCTTTGTTGCCGGGAGCACCAGGTTCACCCTGTGTGGGGAGAAGAGGAGGAGTCGAGTTGGGGTTACTCAGCTTGGCCTGCGGGTTCTCACTTCCCAGATGGGGCCCGTGGAGCCAGTGCACGGGCTGGGGCAGGAGGGGGAGGGCTGTACTCACGCTGTTGCCCTTGGGACCAGGAGGGCCGCTGGGGCCCTGGGGTCCAGAGGGGCCTCGAGCACCAGGGAAGCCGGGAGCACCAGCAATACCGGGAGCGCCCTGTAGGAGGCAGAGCAGACATTGAGCCCAGGAGCAGAGGGCATGAGGCCAGTGGGCAGTGGCCAGGGGTCGGGCTGTGTCCCCACGGGGCACTTACATTGGCACCTTTAGCACCAGGTTGACCATCAGCACCAGGGTTTCCCTGTGGCACAGAGACAGGATGGTAAGTGACAGGCAAAGACTCTGAGGTTGGAAAGTGGTACAGGAAGCTGAGGCGGGGGCACTTACAGCGGGGCCAGCAGCACCAGCAGGGCCAGGGGGGCCAGGTTCACCACGAACACCCTGGGGACCTTCAGAGCCGCGGGCTCCTTGGGGACCAGCTTCACCCTGGGTCAGGAAGAAGGACATGTCAGAAGCCACCCTGGGGGACCCAGTGTTCTCCCTAGATGGTGTGGGGCATGAGCCAAGAATCGGGACTCTAAGACCAGAGCAGGGGACCCCAGGACCAGGGTGTTGGGAGATGGCTTCTCTCTTGTCACTCTAGATACCTCCGGTGCAGAGAGTAGGGAGCCACAGGCCACCTGGGACAGTGAAAGCCACGCTCAGAGGAAAGCAGGGGTCTCACCTTAGCACCGACAGCTCCAGGGAAGCCGGGGGGACCAGCGGGGCCAGTGGGACCCTGTGATGAAACAGGCAAATGGGGAGGTTAGCAAGAAGGAAGGAGGAGCCGCCAACCACACCCTGGGCCGGAAGCAGTCCTGGGATTCTGGTCAACGGGGCCCGTCCCCCGGTGTCCACCTGAGAGCTGGCACGAGACCCTTCCCCTCCCGGGGCCACACTTACAGGGGGTCCAGCAGCACCAGTAGCACCATCATTTCCACGAGCACCCTGCAGGAAAGAGGGGAGGTCCATCATGCCCACTGTACATTGGCCAGTCCCTGCAGCTCCTGGGAACTTCCCCCAGCACCCAGGGACCCTCCAAAGGGACAGGAGTACTTACAGCAGGGCCGGGGGCTCCAGGGCGACCGCTCTCACCAGGCAGACCACGGGGGCCCTGACAACCAGACCAAAAGAAGCCAGATGAGAGGGGAGACGAGGCCCCAGGCCCCCGCCTGGCTCCCGCCCCTGCCCTCCCTTCCCCCCACACTCACCATCTGACCAGGAGCTCCGTTTTCACCAGGGCTGCCTGGCTCTCCCTACAGAGCAGAGAGCACAGAGTGAGGGATTCATTCCCTGGGACCTGGGGAGGGGGAGGGCCGCGGCATTCAGACAGCTTCTTACCTTGGGACCGGCAGGACCAGCATCACCCTTGGCACCATCCAAACCACTGAAACCCTAAGATGGGAAAGAAGGACAAGGTGAGCCATAGTGACACTCGCCCAGACCTGAGAGGAAGCTTCAGGAGGTCACCACAGCCATTCCCTGTCTCTGAGCTAGACTCCACCCCCGCCGGCCCCAGGTCTCACCCAGTCCTAGAAGGGGAACTTCTTTCCCACACAGGGAAGGAAGTTCTTGGGGTGTGTCTACTCTGCATCCCTTGGGGACGGGACATGTGCCGCTGCCACCCACCATATGCACACAGGGATGCTGCGGGGGAGGGCTGGGATGCAGGATGTGAGGGACTTCGGGAGGTTAGAGGACTCGAAAGGGACTCACTCTGTGTCCCTTCATTCCAGGGAGGCCAGCTGTTCCGGGCAATCCCCGAGCACCCTGGAGAGAAAAGAAAAGGACAAGAAGGGGACTTTAGAGTACGGCACTGTAGACACAGCTCCCAAAGCAACCCTAAAGGCAGCCAAGCCCAAGGGTCCAGCCACACGCCCCTGCTCACCTGAGGCCCAGGAGGTCCGCGCTCACCAGGACGACCAGGCTTTCCAGCTTCTCCCTGGAGAGAGGAGAAAGGCCATCACACCCATGCCCCCGGGGGCTGGAGCAGTGTGCCCCGTCTCAGGCTTCTTGGAATTGCTGGCGGTCAGCTTCGGGGGGCCCAGAATCTTCTCTCTGACTCTCACTTTAATCTACCCTAGGACCCCAGCTCCGTGGTATTTCAGTCCTTCCAAAGGAATGTTTGTTTCTGTCAGCAGCATTTTAATCTCACCATCTGCTTGCCACAGCAGTCAGGCCTGAGAAAGCCGCTCTCCTCCAGGATGGGCTGGAGACTGCTTTAAGGTGGCTGGAAACCATCCCACCGAGAGTAGAGACTATTGTCAAGGGCAGTCCCTGCGCTGGGGAGAACTTGCCCTCTCTCCTCTGGTCTCACTTCCAAATGCGGTGGAACATGGGGGTGATTAGGGGACCCAACCCATGGGGGCCATAGAGCCCGAGGGCATCTTCTTGCTGGGCTACTTACGTCATCTCCGTTCTTGCCGGGAGGGCCAGGGGGACCACGGGGACCCATAGGACCCTAGCAGAGATAGGAGGAGAGGCGGTTAGAATGCCCAGGATGAGAAGAAAGGAAGAGGGAGGCCAGGATTGGAAGGAGGAGAGGAGGAAGACGCAGGTGTGTGTGTGTGTGTGTGTGTGTGTGTGTGTGTGTGTGTGTG